CACTTGATGTGTGTTTTGGCCCGCTTAAGCGCGCGTACGGAAACTGCTGAAAAGAGAATGATTGCTGGCAACAACCATATTGACAAGGAAGACTTTCTATCCCTATATCCATCTGCTCGTGCAGAAGTGTTTACTCCAGACAATATATGCAAAGGCTTTGCAGGAGCTGGACTTAAGCCACTTGATAAAGAGCGGGTTCTTGCAAAGATTACCTTTCAGCTTCGTACGCCAACACCACCAGCTTCAGTTGAAAGTTCAGTCTCCTCTGCTTTTCAAACTCCTCAGAATCCTCACCAGCTGGATCACAAGGTTCGCAGCTTGCAAAAAAGCCTTAGTGCAAGAAAGCAAAAGCTTTCTAGCAGCCCAATGTCTCATATTCATCATCTTGAAAAGGCCGCGCAGATGGCAATGAATATGAACCTTCTTCTTCGAGATGAAATTAGGACTCTACGAGCTGAGACTGAGCGGAAAACTAGAAAGAAGGCAAGAAGGCGTGCTATTCTAGGTAATGATACCCTTTTATCTGTACAAGAAGGCCAAAATCGCATTCAGCAGCTTGATACGCAGCTTAATGAGAAGCTTGATGAGCCTACACCTATGCCTCAACGGCGAGCTCCACAACGCTGCAGTGGCTGTGGGACTATTGGACATACCATAAGGAATTGTCCTAATAAATAGCTATATATTCAACTACTAGATAGTCTAATTTAATTGTATTGGTGGTTGAAAAGCTTCAAAATTATAGTGGGTGCGGCGAAAATTCGTCGCTCGGTGGTATTCGTCGCTCGGTGGTTGATTACGTTACCGTAAAAGCGATAGAAGTTGAGCTTGTCATGGTGAAATTCAAGTTTGGACTGTTGAGTATAAAAGTTGGCAACAACACCATCTAGATAGATGGGAGATGGGCTTTCAACAGGCCCGGCTCAGGTGTGAGACAAAAAGCACAGCCTTCGTATAGCTTGCAGATCAGTCAGATGCGGCATCTTAGCAGACGTCATGCGACATACAAGCCCCAAGCCCCAAGCCCTAACTTCCGAACTGGGAACCAGACCAATCTGCCGCCTTCTCCTTGAGGGAAAGGGAGAGGCAAAAAAAAAAGTGTACATTGACTCAAAGGGGTGGATGCCAATAACGCGCATTCCTCATTGATCTATTTCCATTCGCTCGTTATTCAATCGTGTTTTTTCTTTTCTTTTATGAAGGCCTCAGCCTATGCTATCGGCCTTGTTTGCCCTGCGCGACGAGCAATTGCTGCCCGGCCCGCCGTCGTGCCCCTCCGCTGGAGCTTGACAGGAACAGCGGCCTTCCGTCCAAAAACCCTCGATTCTTATGACCCCACCGTGACCATCCGCCACCGTCGCTTTCTCTCCTACAATCACGATCCCTCTCCCACCGACAAGATGCCTAAGGACAAGCCGTCCTTCACTCTGAAGACCCCCAAGGGGACCAAGGACTGGGCCGGCGCCGACGCCCTCCTCCGCGATCGCATCTTCCGCACCATCACCGAAGTCTTCAAGCGTCATGGCGGCACTGCGCTGGATACGCCCGTGTTCGAGCTGCGGGAGATCCTCGCGGGAAAATACGGCGAGGACTCGAAGCTCATCTACGACCTGCAGGACCAGGGTGGTGAGCTCTGCTCGCTCCGGTACGATCTGACGGTCCCCTTCGCGCGATGGCTCGCCATGAACCCGGATATTCGGAGCATAAAGAGATACCACATCGCCAAGGTGTACCGCCGAGACCAGCCAGCCGTGGCCAAGGGACGGATGAGGGAGTTCTATCAGTGTGACTTTGACATCGCCGGTGCGAATTTTGACCCCATGGTGCCGGACGCGGAGGTGATCAAGATCATCTCGGAGGTGTTTGAAGAGCTGGGTTGGCAGGGACGATACACGATCAAGATCAACCACCGAAAGATCTTGGATGGTCTATTTGAAGTGTGTGGCGTGCCGCAGGAGAAGATTCGACCCATCTCCAGTGCCGTCGACAAACTGGATAAACTTCCGTGGGCGGATGTCCGGAGAGAGATGGTTGAGGAAAAGGGCCTTGACCCAGCGGCGGCTGACAAGATCGAGACCTACGTTGTCAAGAAAGGCGGACGGGATCTACTGGATGCGTTGCTGAAAGACGAGGCTCTCACAGCGAATGCATCCGCCAAGGTGGGCATGGAGGAGATGGGTCTCTTGATGGAATACCTGGAGGCTTTCGGAGTTCTCGATAAAATTTCTTTCGATCTGTCGCTCGCTCGAGGATTGGATTACTACACAGGAGTCATCTACGAGGTCGTGACAGAAGGGTCGGCGCCCAGCACGGCCACCTCTGCGCCGGAGGCACAGAACCTGCAGAAGGCGGGAAAGAAGGACAAGGCCAAGGGAGAGAATGTTGATGAGGATGATCGATCCAACGACCCGACCGTTGGAGTTGGCAGTGTCGCTGCCGGTGGACGCTACGACAACCTGGTCGGCATGTTCTCCAGCAAGGCCCAGATCCCGTGTGTCGGCATTTCCTTTGGTGTCGACCGGATCTTCTCCATAATCAAGGCTCGGATGGAGCGTGACAATAAAGCGGAAGCTCTTCGAGGCAGCGAAGTGGATGTCTATGTCATGGCCTTTGGTGGCAAGGGATTCACCGGGCTGCTGAAGGAGCGGATGGAGGTCTGCAAGACTCTGTGGGCCGCTGGCATTAAGGTAACGTCTTCCTGAAAGAATAATAGAAACCAAACAGGATCTGACAATGCCATTCCCCAGGCCGAATTCTCCTACAAAATCAAACCCAAGCTTCCCCAGCAATTCAAAGCGGCCGAAAATGGCGGTGTGCCCTTCGCCGTGATCCTGGGCGAGGACGAGCTCGCCCAAGGCAAAGTTCGCGTCAAGGAGATGGGTCTGGAAGAGGGCCACCCGGAGAAAGAAGGAGTGCTAGTCGACCTGAAGGATCTCACAAAGGAGGTGAAAGCGCGGCTAGCGAAGAAGAACAGTGCTGCCGCCACGACAGGGGTAGAGAAGCAAATCGAGGGCTTGACCGTGCAGGAAACACCCAAGACAGAAGATGCTGGCGTTTGATGGCGATGCATTTTGTATACAGAATACCACGTGTTATTTAAAGAGACAGACAGGGATAAATTAAGAAAAAACGTATAGACTTGACATTTATTGTTGTTTCTTTTTTCTTTATTTTTCCCCCCTTCCTATTCTAATGCTGACCATCTCCACCAAACTAATGAAATATTGTAGATGGATAACATGGTCTTCCTCCCAGGTTACCAGAGCATCTTCACATGCCATTCATTGATTCATCCATTCATCCATCTATTTATTCCATTGTACGCAAAGATGGAGTAAATAGGCAAGGTGGAGGTTTGAGGTAATTTGAACTTCTTTTTTTTTCCCTAACAAGAAAAATAAAGCATAATATAATACATGAAGAAAATAACAATGACATGCTCCAGAATCGATTGGATTTCAACCCAATCACCACCAAACAAAACGTCCTTCCTTCACTCTGCCTGCTTCATGATGAACGATTTGACAAAAGGTAGTTTGTCAATCGCATCCAAGCCCAGACTTCTCGCCCATGCCACGGGCCCGTGACCGGGGACGTTGTAAAGCCGGTGAAGCAGATCGCAGACGCCGCCGATCTTGGCGTTGACGGCCCAGCGCTCCGAGACGTATCGTTCCAGGCTGAGAAGATCGCCAATGTCCATCCCGTGGCTGACAGCGTATTCGACAGCGCTGACCAGAGATGCGACATCCCCCAGCCCCAGGTTGAGTCCTTGTCCGGCGAGAGGGTGGATCACATGAGCGGCGTCGCCGACGAGGGCGACTCGAGGCGAGATGTAGGAGGAAGCGTGGCGGAAGCGCAGGGGGAAGGACGCAACGCTGCGATCCTGGACGGAAGTGACCAGCGGCGGGATTTGGGATGGTAGAGGGGTATGTTGTAGTCGCCATTGAAGTTCGTCTTCATGCTGACTGATTGCTTCGCCGGACGGAGACGAAGTCGTAGATGAAGGATCCAAGCGTAGCATATATTGCAGGTCCGTCATCGACAGGCGGAACGCAGCATTGACCATCGTGATAAACGCTTGTGGGGGTAAAGATTTCAGATACGTAGCATTCTCAACCGTAGTGGACCAGACCAGGGAAGCATGGTTATTGGGGAGAGGAAGAAGGGCGATGGGCCCCCAAGAGAAGGGAGAAATCGCTGATATGCCGTTCTGGTGCCTATCGGGAAGGTTGGAGTTGCTGGTTCAGCCAACGACAGTGTTGCCACGACACCGTGCCGGTTATAATCCCAGCCATCCGTCGATATGTCGGCGAAAGAACGGACCGGACTGTTGATACCATCCGCCCCGACTAGCAGACGAGCTGCAATGGTAGACGGAACGCTGGAGGCTGCTGAGGGCGAAGGAGAAAGGGACAGCACCGGCCAGGCCGACAGATCCGGCCCGTCCTGATGATCGGCGCCATTCTGAATGGACGACACGGTCGTGTTGGAGAAGATCGAAATGCCCTCATCACCAAGTTCAGCAATTCGCGACAGCAGACCACGAACCAGATTTGCGTTCTCTGTCATGGTCGCCACGGTGCGCAGATTCTCAAATGGCGAGGTCTCCATGGACCAGTCAAACGATATCCGGGACCCCGTCTGGCCATCCCATACGTGCATCTCTTGATATGGCTGAACCCGCGAGCTGTCAACATGCTTCCAGGCCCCAATCTTCTGCAGAAACGAGACCGACGAAGGGGTAAGGCTGCTACACCGGTTGGAAAACTCGTGGGGTGCAGAACTCCAATTGCGGGCTTTGTTGAGGTTCTGGCTTTCAATGAGCGCAACTTTGAGCTCTGAAGTCAATGGCGATGCTCCTAGCAGACATTGTTAGCTCGATTCCATCGCTAGGCGGCAATTGAGAGGGGCAATGGCATACGAAGAGCTGCCAAAAGCGCAAGGCCGGCGGGCCCGCCTCCGACGCAGACGACATCGTATATGTCGGGGATCTGGTCGGAATTAGAAGCGTAACCCCGGCGTCCAGATTGCAAACCACGTCGACATGACGGGCAGACGTAGGGACGCAGCACTGAACGAGCAAGAGACCGCATTGCTGCACTTGCTGGCTCAGGAACGCATTGCTGGTCTGGAATGAGAGGATGGGATGATCGCGGAGGATCGAATGATCGGAGCTGCAAACAGAGCAAACCAGTCCCTTCCGAAGTCAGCCGGCGTCTGCTGATGTGAGCATTCCTGCGATGGTTCTTGTCCACTTAGTGTAAAAAGTTAAGAAAAACAATTATCAAAGAGTACCACCTCGTTGTAATAAATTGTATGTTCTAGGAGTAAGGTATATAGTAGTACTCTGACTTCATACCAAGAAATACATAATGAACCATCTAGGACAACGGGGTAATAATTCACCTGCGGATACCTAGGTCGGATTCCGTGGATAATACAACATAACACAACGCCTGACTGACATGACGTGAAAGAAAAAGGACGCATACAATTCATCATGAATAGACATCTGGTGGATGTTGTTCCTCCCGGAAAGGACAGAAAAAAAGTAACTCCAAATGACAACTACGACGCAACACTTTCCCCTCCTCGGTGATCGTTCTGATGATCATCAACACCAATCTCCCCCTCCATCTCCACGATGAATCGTTCCCATGTGTTCAACACCCCTTGGTAGAACTCGATGTGCTTGTCGGCCAGCGCCCCCAAGGTATCGCGGAATTCCACCGCCTTGATCCGCTCAAAGTCGGCCACTTCACGCACGACTTCCTCGTCAAACATCTCCGAAGTCGTCTTGGCCGACTCGACTTCCCGCGTCAGCTCGTCGATCCGAAGCTCAAGCTTGCGGATCCGCTCCCGTCGAGATTGTTCATGATCCACACCGCGCATGTCTTCCATCTTCGACCGGATGAAAGAAGCCGGCGATGAGGTTAGCGGGTTGGAGGCATAGTATGATGACGGGTTGTTGGCCAAGGAATCCCGATCGGCGACCGCTTTGTTGCGGTATTCGACCAGGGCTTCAAAGTCAAGCTGCTTCTGCTCTCGTGTCTTGAGAAGCGACTTGAGTGATAGAATGTACGCCTCCATGTCTCGGAGCGACCCGAGATAGTTCTGGTCCGTGTGATCTTTGAGTGCCTTGAATCCCCGCGACGTCTCTTCCACCGACGCTGCGAAGATCTGTAAAGGCACCTCGATGTCGGGCTCAAGGGGTACTAGCTTGCGGAATTGCGTTGCCAACTCTGCATAGTCAGCCTCCAGATCCGCCTCGCGACGGGCGACCCGCGCCACAATCTTCTCCACGTGGTTGAGATCCTCATCGAGCTTATCGGCCTTCTCTCGAACCTCAATAAACCGTCGATCGGGCTTATGGACTTTGGTGAATGCGTTGACAAAGGTGTCTGTGAAGTTATCAAAGAGGCCACCCCCGCTCTCTGATGTGTTTGAGCCACGGGAGGATCGTAATCGCATATGAGCGTTCCAGTCCGGTGATTCCAGGAAGATCGCCAGTATCGGGGCCCGGCGCAACACTGGATGCAGCGTTATCCGCTTGATAAATCGATGAAGCGACCATGCTCGTCGCTGTGTAAATTCTGGCGAGAATCTGTCCCCCGTCACATAACTCTCCACCTTGTGTTTGTCCGGCAGCGGCGGCACAGCGCAGGCAGGGTAGTCTCGATATAGAGTCTTGTAGAGGAAATAAAAGTCCCGGAATCGCCGACGGACAGAGAAGTCGGATTTCTGGAAAGTTTTGAAGTCGGTCTGCGTGGCGACCACTCGTCAACCCCCGCGAACGTAGAAAGAAGGGAGGCAAGAGAGAGCACCTACATGGGTGGTGACCAAGTATGAGATATAGGCATCTTTCGTTCCATCATTCTCCTTCAGCGGAGAGCCCACCGTACACTCCAAAACGCCGTCCCCGATACCTGCGAGATCGACGGCATCCGCAAGCGGCCCAGCCTGGGGCTCCTGAGCTGCGCTCATCCTCCGTTTCCCATTGACATCGCGTTCCGACCGACCCGAGTCATCAGCATCAGTCCCTGCCGTCGTCGGTCGCGACACGTCGCTCTGCGGATCGTTTCTCCAAGAGACACTGTCAAAGTCGTCGTGTGGCTCCATTGCAGTTAGGGAAGGGCTGTCCCTTCCCGAGGCCGCCGTGGGGTGTGGGATCACAGGTCGGTGGCCGGAACAGGCAGCAGGGAAATGCAATCCCGATCACCACTGAGCGACAAGGGCGCTGTGTATTCGATCGCGTCGATGCGGCGTTAAATTCTAGAATTGCCAGGTCAAGGAGGATGAAGGGATTGCGGGGGAACAAAGGTCTGCAGCCTGGACGATCTGATCTGGAGGGCCGGCGTCATGGATGGATGGGGTTCGGTTCGGGGAGACCCAAGCCAGCAGCGTCATCACCAGCCTCCCCGCCTACATCGCGCTTATCTAGATAAGTAACCATTCCACCGCGCTGTCGCTGCATCCGGCCTGTTTCCCTCTTCACAGCAAAAGTGTGCACAACGATAAAAAAAAGAGCCATGACAGACAAATATGGGTGTCCGTTTAGAGGATATATTACTAATGCATACTCTAGAATACATGCCCGCCCAACCGTCCATGTCTCGAGAGAACAAGAACGCCGTCTTCGCAACGAGAAACCCAATCCATGTGAAAACACTATATACCCTAACTGCGTTGATTACAATTCAAATGCTTATGTCCTTTCAGACCCGTTCCCATCGTCTCTTGGCTTTTCCTGGAGACCTGTCTCGGGATGATCTCGATAGGGCTCGTCCTCATCCTCCTCACTCAGGAGTTCCTCGTCACTCTCCCCAGCAAACGCATTGTACAGTTCTCCACCCCGACGCTTTCTCGCGCTCCGTCGGCCCAGTGGGGCCTCTGCATCTTCCTCGTCGTCGATGATCTCGAACTCGTAGTCATCGTGAGGGTTGTTTCGCAGGCGTTTCCGCCGCTGGATCTGGAAGTAGATGCCCAGAGCCAGGCAAAAGACAATGATCAGCGACAAGGAGGCGTAAATCCAGACCTGGGTGCGTCGGGAGGCACCGAAAGTGGGGAAGAATGACGGCAAAAAGCTGGCTGACGATGATGCAGTGGGAGATGCGCTCGCTGTGGAGGTCGTCGTGGCTATTGTCGACGCGCCCTGGGCTGTGGGCGTAGCGTCAGTGGCCGAGGGCTTCTCGTTCACCGGCCGGTCAACGTGGTCAGTGGGAGCTGGAGGCGGTTCGGTCTTGCTCATGCCTGTGTCAATACTGACTGTAGCCACTACCGCGTCTTCGATGCTGTGGTCGTCGTCGTGCTCGTCCGGAAGTGGATGGAGCGATTGTGATGATCCATCGATTGCCTCTCCCCACAGATTCAGACGCCAATCGATAAACACCCCGGTAAACTCGTTGACCTCGGTGTCCTTGACTATCACGGTCCACTTGCCAATGCCCGATTCTCCCCTGTGAGAGAAAGTGAGAAGCTGCCTAACAGAAAAGGAGAAAAAGAACCAGCAGCACACGACTACTTACCAATGTGCAACGGACATGAACGTCCAGTCGACGTAACCCGCCGCTTCATTATCATACTGCCTGGTCACGCTCAGGTGGCTCACAATACCTTCTGGACTGCGCAGCTCGACGCTCAGGTCGCCCCGGCGTGTGTGGTTGACGTTCATGGTCACTGTGACATGTTCCAACCGGGCAAGGTTGGCCTGTCTGAGTATATCTTGGGTTACCTCAAAGTAACTCGCGAGGCCTTGGGTTCCCTGAGGGATATCCTGCTGCACTCTCAGCCATGGCGAATGATACCACGCTTGAGGCTTGACGAGAGACCAATTCTTGGCCTTCTGCACCAGAGCATACGTGTCGATCTTCCCATAACCATACTGATGGCTGTATTCCTTCCCTATTTTTGTCACCTGTATGTCGTTGGGTTCATTGTGGACCGGAATCGCCGTCTCCAGCATCAGATACTGAACATCCCGCCAGGTCAGGTCAGGCCGTACGCTTAAAGCAAGGGCTATGGCGCCTGCAGCCAATGGGCCTGCAGCTGAGGTACCACCGTGTACGGTGGTGCATTTGTCGGGACCCACGTCGGTGGTATGGATAGCATCACCACCGCCGCTGCTATAGGTGACGACCATCTGCGCCGAGCAGGCTTCGGAGTAGCTAGGATGCTTGCCCTCGCGGTCGAGAGCTCCCACAGTAATGCTGTAGATACTGTTGGTGTAGCCGTCAAAATTGCAATTGTCACCCCGGAAAGCACCGTTGCCTGCAGCAAAGACAAAGATCGAACCCTTGCCTTGTCGACCGTTCTGCACTCCATTCACAATGGCGCGTTCGACAAGGATACCCGGGGCCTCCATGGTCTCACCATCATCCCGTGGACCCCACGAACAGGAGTAGATATCATTCTTCTGGAAGCCATAGTTGACCGCAGCGGCCTCATCCGCATCGTCGATCGGTTTGGATAGAATCCGGATCCCAGCGACCTTGCTGTCGTATGCCATTCCGACACCACAAACTCCGTTCCTGACCGCCGCCACTTCTCCCGCGCATCTCGTGCCGTGTTTATCGTCAAATAACCGAGGTTTGGGTTCATCCGTATTATCGTTGAAGTCCCATGACCCTTCAGCGAAGTAGTTATCTTTGAGATCGTTGCTGTACATGTCCAGACCGTCGTCGATAATGGCCGTGACGACCCCCTTTCCCGTAATCCCCTCTAGCCAGACACCCGTCACATTCAAATCGTGGCCCACCTGCACCGTATTGAACAAATGCCATTGTTCATGGAACAAGGGATCTACGATTCCCAAGTCCGAGGCAATTCGCTTCTGAGCCTGCACGGCAGCCGCATCGTCTCGTGCCGGTCTTTCTCTAGCAGGCGGCGAGGATGACTTCGCGGAATATTCTGCTGGAGGCGGTATCCTCTTGTGCAGTCGCTGCTTCAATCCTAGCTTCTGGGACCAGAGGATCCCATCCAGGCCGTCTTCTCTCTTCGGCAAGCGGGCGGCATCGTCGCCTCCTCGCCGTCTCAGTTTCCTCCGAACCCGCAGTTCTTCTAACAGCGCATCTATATCCGAGCTTCGCTCGCGGGGTAATGAGAATTTGTGGTGACCAGGCAGATTTCCGATCTGGCCTTCATGATGGGCACCGAGCACTTGGGCGACGTGTTCCGGAGGAGTCGAAGCGTCGAGGTGGAGGGCAAAGAAATCGTGGGTATCATAAGAGCGAGGCGATAATTCCGCAGATGCTGTAAAAAGCAGGGAACAGACAGCGGCGACACCTAAAAAACGCATGTTGAAGTATAGACAACAGAGAAACGTGGCAAGATGGTTCCCGACACAATACGCCTCTCAAGGCGTTAACACTTGCACAAACAAGCTTGCCATGAAAGGTACCAGACCCCTCGATGGCGAAGCACAGGGCAATTCTGATCCAGAATCCAGGAATAAAGAATCCTGATTCTGGAAGGGGAGAGTATTATCTGGCTTGGAAAAGGGGGAATGGGGGAGTTTGAGAAATTGCGGAGATGGATGGCTGCGCGATCGTCTGGCGTTGCGGTGGGACCGCGCGCTGGGCTGTGGCGGCTGGATGGCGATCGCCTGTTCTTTTCTCATTCAAAGAATGCTTTGAGTGGCTGAGAAGGAGAGATGGTAGATAGACAGAATGAGGAAGTAGCAATGGCAGCCTCCAATCCCATATTATCGCAGAATGCTTTTCTCTTCTCTATTCTTTGTTGTCCAGCGTTCTGTTGGCGCACAAGTGTGGCCACGTTTCGGGGTCATCCTTAACCGTCTTTATCCATTAACGCGGGCGGGCGCATCCGTGGAATGGCTTGGAGTGCCAGCCCGCACCGTATCTCCTGAGCTTCTAAAAATACTTATCAGAAGTAAGTGCTCAGTATCTGCGCCTGAGGGCAGATCGACGAGGGCAAATAACTCGAAGGAGCTCCTGGTCACGAACTCTCTGGAGTTTTTAGAATATGGGAGGAAATCTGATGAGGAAAAATTCACTGCACACTGTACTGTATGCAGGAGCACTACCGTAATGTATGTAGTACACCCAAAATTTCCCCCCATTCACTGCAGAAATTTGGCAGTCAAGGTCGCCCAGATATTTAAATCCTTTTTTCAAGTTAATTCTGTATGTAATCAATACTTTGAGGTAAAACTACTATGCCAGCAGAATTGCAGCAAAAGATCAGACGAACAGGCCTCGGGACCTGCGGGGGACGAAGCTTTGCGGGCCGCAGGGCCAGGGAGGGACAGCCCGGTCTGCCGGTGTACGGCCCTCCAATGCAGCCTCGGATGTGTGTTGAAATCATATCACTACAAGTCAGAAGGCATCGTCCTTGCAGCGTGTCCAATAATATCTGATGGATGCTGCTGTCTGCGAATTTAATGGCGCCACAGCACCAAGCAGGGTTCTTGTCCAACCACCAGCCACCAGGTTATTCCGTTCGCTCGGCTGGGCCAATGTCCAGCAGCAGCAGCACCAGCAGCAGTGCCTCGATCTCCTCCCTCCTCGCAGTGAAGATGGCAGGACATTCTTCCTCCCTCCGTTCCCCTCGAGGATTAACGACCTTGATTATAACTCATTGATCTGGCATGTTGTGTTAGCACCTGGTACATGCGTCAGCAGTGAGCATCTGGCAGCTTAACTCCGCATCACTTTTACCCTTTTGGGCTCCAACACGATCGGACAGCTGGACAAGTCACCATGGTGCGCGCATCGCAAACCATTGCAATGTGAATTGTGTCTCTTGTCTTCTCTTCTGCGCTCTCTTCATTTCGAAGCATCCACACCCTGTCCCCCAAAGCTGCGTGGTGAGCACTGCCAGCAGCCTCTCATCCTTAGAGTATGTATGCCATTCTTGATACACAGTTGTTTGACCTCCGAAATGGTTGCAGTTTGTCAAGTCAGGTCACATTTGCGCTAATATCCCATCGCCCAGATCTTTACTCGCGACTATCAAAACATACTAGCCTCGTTCGCCGATCGCAGACACTGAGTATCCACGAAACACAATTTCCATTTCATCCCACCTCATTTCTTAGCGATCCACCGCCTGCGAACTATGGCAACAACAGCATCTCGACGGCCCTCGGTGTCGGCCAATGGTGATTATGTCTCACGCCAACAAAGAGCAGGCAATGGGGTGATCCGCACATCTTCGACCCGGCGACAACAGAGCACCGGGACAGGTGGACCGGCTATGGACTATCAGGACGACTATCAGAACGCGCCTTCCTATCCCCCCGCAGCTCCGGAAGCGCCCAGGGCTCCCCCAATTTCCTACAGAAATGGCTCCGCTCCCGCATACCACGGCCATGATTCTCGGTCATTCTCCTCAAGAACGAGAGACTTACCATCTGAGGATTCTTTTGGGCCTTCTGATGATGGCTACGATGCTACTAAGACAACCAGAAATGATAAAATACCTTATCAGCGACCTCCCGAACCCAGGAGGGCCAATACCCAACCGTTACCAGACGATGGCACTCCTGCGGCGGCCATGTCGTCGAACTCGCTGAATCAAAGCCAGCGGTCGCGGAAAGCCTCGGATGCTGTTTCCCCCCATGGATCGGGAACTCGAACGGCTTCACTGAGTCGCTCGAGCACCGTCCGTTCCGCAAATGGCGAAACGCGTCTGTCCGCGGATCGATCTCCTCTTCAACAGCTGGAAGTGACCCTTCAGGGGCTCAGCAAAGAAGAAAAAAGAGCGCGTGTGGTAGAGGCGGAAATGCGGTTGAAAGAACAAATTGCTCGTCGCCAAAGCCAGCGTGCAAGCCGTGAAGAGGGCTCGACGTCCTCCAGAAGGACAGGTGCTGATAATGATTCCACAGCTGCAGCGTCAAGCGTGGAAGACCAAAAATTGGATAGGAGTGTGGGTTCGAAACAGAGTGACGTACCTCGCCGTAGCACCACAGTCGAATCGAAACGTCCGGAACAGGCGCATATATCTGCAGCTCCTCAGGATAGAGGCAGTCAAGACTATCAATATGCAAGGAAACAACCAGCTACTACTCGCACGCAAGCTCCCGTAGATGTTCAATACGCTTCGGTTCAGGCTGCGAGGCAGCCTCAGTATGCTTCAACGGAAGATGATGGGAGAGCTGCAGAGGCCGCAAGGGATACTGGCCGGCCGCAAACTGGATACGAGTTCCGCTCGTACAGCATGGATAATTCGTTTTCTGCGGGACCTTTTCGGACTGAGAATACGTCACATAGAGCAGTCTTGAATCAGCCATTTGCCGGGGGTCCTGCCACCTCTGCGGGCGTGGCACGGACGAATAGCAAGAAGTTGCAAAAACGACGAGGTCCTGAAGATGAGCAACAACGTTCTCTTGGACATGATGGCCAGCAACTACCACCCAGAACGCAGGTTGACCAGACTATTGGCCTCGGTAGCACCAACCCACAGGATCCTGAACGGACGGCTTTTCATAGCAAGGAGGCGGCTGGACCCGACCAGGCACCAGCTGGAGTTACGCTCAACAAAGCTCCCGATCATCAACAGGACACGAAGAATGATCGTAATGACGAGACTACTCCATCACAACAGAAACCGAAGAAACAAACGGTCTCCTTTGATGTTCCACCACCCACGCCACCTCCGCTGTCAGAATGGCGGGACGCCCCTGTGGCGCGTTTGCGCCTCGCGAATAGGGAATTTGAACATTTTGATGCAGATAAAGGCAAAGCTTGGTGGGAACGAGGCGGCAGCTCGAATCGGAGACAGAGCAGGGCGCTACCGAGTGACTATCGGAAGCCGCCGCCAAAAGTGAACGAAAGGAGCCGGTTCGAGCCACCCTTGTTCTTAAAGTGTGGGCCATTGCTACGGTTTCTAGGAATCAGAAGAACGAAGGTTGATGGGCCCAGTGGTCCCATCGAGCAAGAGGTCTGGCGAGGCAGTATCATGATCGTGACTGCTGACTCCCGTTCCTCTTATGAGCCTCCACCTACCTTACGACTCTTTGCCCAACCCATGGATCTTCTGCCGCCTCCGCCTAGGGAGATCAGCGGGGAGGAAGGCGTTCAGCTACCTCCGGAATATGTTGACCCAACGGCCGGACTCATCAAAGTTGGACGCGATGGGCGAAAACTGTACGTCAAGCCCGTTGATCATGTTGATGAAGCAGTCGATTTATCACGAGTCGAGAGTGAGGATGGGCTCTACGAGGAGTCTCCTAGCCCCATTGACTACAGCAGTGATGGCCCGGGAAAGCCAGTTCCAACTAACCGGATTCACCCTATCGATGGAGAAAAAAGCGGGCAATATGAGCAGATTGAAGGATTCCGGCTGTATGCTGATCCGGCAAGGGACGTGACTTTCTGGAGATTCAACATTGAAGTAGAACTGGGAGACAAGCAGGAGCGCATTGCCTACCGCATCAATGAAGGACCGGCGATTGGGTTCTGGGTACCTGGCAGGGGCCAGTCTATGAACATTATGTTTCATTCTGGCAACGGGTTCGGCTTGTCTGTCGATCCTAACAAATTCAGCGGCCCAGATCCTCTGTGGAGAGATGTCCTCAATGAGCACCAGACTCGCCCATTCCATGTCATGATCGGCGGTGGTGATCAGATCTATAACGATAACGTCGTGCTGGACTCGAAACTCTTCCAGGAGTGGACACAAATTAAAAACCCCCAACAGAAATATCACGCACCATTCACCGCTGCGATGAAGGCGGAGCTGGAGACCTTCTTCTTGGAGCGGTATGCCATGTGGTTTTCGCAGGGTCTGTTCAGTCTTGCGAACTGTCAGATACCGATGGTCAATATTTGGAATGATCACGACATCATTGGCGGATTTGGCTCGTATCCCGACCCCTTTATGAGGGCACCGGTCATCTCTGGTTTGGGAAATGTAGCGTACAAGTACTATTTGCTCTTCCAGCATCAGAGCGTACCAGAAGAGACCGAAGCAGACGAGCCCAGCTGGCTTCTTGGAGCTGACCCGGGACCCTATATCCAGGAAAAGAGCCGGAGCGTGTTCATGTCTCTCGGGAAAAATGTGTTCTTCCTGGGATTGGACTGCCGCACTGAACGGATGGTGAGTGCTCGTATTGATGAAATCAACTACAGAGAAGGATTTCCGCTGACTGTCTGACTTAGCGGGATGAGATCTTGAGTGAGCAGACTTGCGATCTCATCTGGGATCGGTGTCACCGCGAGATTGTGAAAGGCGAAACGAAGCATTTAATTGTCCTTCTAAGCGTTCCTATCGCCTATCCCAGACTTGTGCGTTGCCCAATGTGCTTTTCCTTGGACTTGATACCTTTTTTGTCAACGTATTTGAACGAGTGCTGATCTAGATCTAGGTGTGGCTCGAAAATCTACTGTTTAGCCGAGTAATGGATCCCGTCAAGGCTCTGGGCAAAGCAGGGATATTTTCGGGTTTGCTTAATAAATTCGATGGCGGCGTCGAAATGCAGAGCAGTCTGGATGACCACTGGACGGCCAAAATGCACAAGATCGAGCGAACGTGGTTGATCGAGGATCTGCAAGACCTAGCAGCGGACAAATCGGTCCGGGTTACTATTCTGAGGTATGGCCAAGACCCTCCCCAATCTATACCAGGTTCGTAACTGACAGTATGAAAGCGGCGACGTCCAGTTGGCAGCTATCGGACAGTTCTATTCGAATCCGAAGCTGAACGTGGCCAAGGACAAGGACTACCGATATATGCCGAACGTTATCTCCTCAGCGATTGCCAATGCACCAGCGCCTGAGATGCTGTCGGATGTCCTCAACAAGCGCAACAAGATTCATCATATGGATTCCAATACGGATGAAGACATGATTCCTATCTTTACGCATGATGTGGACGGTAAACCGCGCAATAACAAGCGACTGCTCCCGCGACGGAATTGGTGCTCCATCCGAGAGTATCAGCCAGGTGAGCGGTGGCTACTATTTGCGTCTGTCTATGAATACATCGTCTGACAAGCATTGCAGGGTTAACTCCTCCGTCGACCCCTCCTGAGCCAGCTTCTCCGCCAACGCCAGAACTCGCGCCGGGCAAATTACGAAGGACTCTGTCTCTGGGCCGAGGAGAAAACCGGGATAACCCTCGCGGGGGTCTGCTACGACGGCTTTCGCAACGTGGCCCCCCACCGACCAAAGACTTCAATTTGGAAGGGGCAAGGCAGCGCCGTGTCAGTATGGACGGACCTCGCCCGCCGGCTCCTGGGACGGGCAACAGCTATTTCCCTGCACCAGAAGCATCACGGCCGGCCCCTTTCCACCGCCGCCCAACCAACCTGAGCCAGAAGGCCGCTAAGAAGGCAACTGCGGAAGGCAACGATGGTTTGGGCGCCTACATCAATCTCGAAGGCGGGTTAGATATTACTTTAAATCTGGAGGTTAATCCCAAAGATCCCTCGGGTATCACAACGCCGTACAGACTGCTTGTACCTGCATTATGGTACGATGGCGGGTATGACCCACAGCCCACGCGGGTCGTCAAAGGCTGGAAAAAGTGGCTGGGTCGCGGTAAGAAGAAGAATGATGTTGCGCCACCCGATGAAGGCAGTGACGGCGGCGAGGATGGCGGCAAGTATGAAGAGGATGAGTTCTCTGAGAGCGAGGAAGAGGCGCCGTCATCCCATTTTCCCCAGCATATTCCTCAGCGGACTCAGGGCCAGCCGCCAGAAGGGCTGATTGATAACGAACTGGAGATTTACCGGCCGAAGAAGAAATGGTTCAGGGTGAGATAGTTAACAACAACGGCTCTTGCAAGTGGGTCGTGGTCTATGATCAACAATTGTGATTACTTGTCACCTCGATATCCAGACCGCTCCTTCACACGATCGATACCCATGTTTCTTTTCTTTTCTTATGCTTGTAACTTTTTTTTTAATGGTCAAGCATCGATTCACTGGAAAATGACACGTTATGATGTTATGATGTTATGATAGTCAGGCGCTCCTGGAAATGAGAAAAACTGGCTGATGATCGTCGTCCTGATTGTTAAATATGCGATTAGACAATGCCTCTGATTGCCGGAGAGGTGCGTAGATGATGACATGGCCGACGGTTCTCGAAGGGGCCTGCGCGATCGGCGGAGGTCGAGGCCAGCGCCGCTTTCTAATCACGGCGGGCAGGCCTCCACGTGACCGGTCTCGAAACGATCTGATTATTGAGATAATTCCCGAGATGATCATTCCAGCGACGCTTACATTAGGTGGCTAGCAGCCCACATTGAACTTAATAATACTCGTCTCTCGTCCCATGCTGTGATCCCTGGTCGACCCTGGCCTTCTCCGTCTCTGCGCAACGCTCCTGTCTTGCCTGATCGCGTTGCATCTCGGAATAAATTTCATTTCCCCTCCCAATCTGCCACCCCTCACGCCTCCTTTCACCCCTTCCCATACCCCGCCAGCCTTCAGATAAAAACCACCACCGTGTTTTCCTCAGCCTTTCGTCGCTTTCCTCTCTCTTCTTTCCGCTCCTCGCTGGGTCTATCTGCTGCGGCCGCTTCCTCCCTGCAGCAGAACACTTCGCCCTCCTCTTCGACCCTTTCTCCCTTCTCCGGGACGCCACGGCGCCTCAATTCGGACGTGACGTCTAAGAAAATGCCGCATGCCAGAGTAGTCAGTACGTCTTTGTCTGCACTTCTCAGACTAGCAAGATGATCTGCTTTGCTAACAATGTACTTCAGTTATCGGGTCGGGCCCCGCCGCCCACACCGCCGCCATATACCTGTCCCGAGCGGAATTGAAGCCAGTGATGTATGAGGGCATGATGGCTAACGGCACCGCTGCGGGTGGGCAGCTGACCACCACCACCGATATCGAGAACTTCCCTGGATTCCCAAACGGAATTGGTGGTTCGGAACTGATGGAGAACATGCGCAAGCAATCTGAGCGCTTCGGAACCGAGATCATCACTGAGACGATCACGCGGGTCGACCTCTCCCAACGCCCCTTCAAGCTGTGGAAGGAGTGGGCGGATGGCCCTAATGACGAGCCTGCTCACACGGCGGATGCTGTCATCATCGCCACCGGTGCCAACGCCCGCCGTCTGAACCTCCCGGGAGAGGAGAAGTACTGGCAGAACGGAATCAGCGCATGCGCCGTCTGCGATGGAGCGGTGCCCATCTTCCGTAACAAGCCTCTCTACGTCATCGGAGGTGGTGATTCGGCAGCAGAAGAGGCCATGTTCCTGACCAAGTACGGCAGTCATGTCACGGTGCTGGTCCGCAGAGACAAGCTGCGCGCGAGCAAAGCCATGGCCAAGCGCTTGTTGTCTAACCCGAAGGTGACCGTCCGATTCAATACCGTTGCGGTCGAGGTGCTTGGGGAGGATAAGCCGAACGGCTTGATGACCCATTTGAAAGTGAAGGATGTCATCACCGGGAAGGAGGAAGTCGTGGAAGCGAATGGTCTCTTCTATGCTGTCGGCCATGACCCGGCGACGAACCTGGTCAAGGGACAGGTCGAATTGGACAGTGACGGGTATATCGTCACGAAACCGGGCACCAGCTACACCAGCGTTCCTGGTGTGTTTGCGGCGGGTGACGTTCAGGATAAGCGGTACAGGCAGGCCATCACCAGTGCTGGTAAGTGAAAATCCCTTCTACCTTTCTACGCCTTTCACTACTGACACTCGTTTTCAGGGTCTGGCTGTATCGCAGCCCTCGAAGCCGAGAAGTATCTGGCCGAAGCTGAAGAAGCTGCGGAGGAAACGCCTGCGGTGGCTACGGCTGACGGTTCGACCATCGCGCCGGCTGCGGTGGGAGGCACGGAGCCCAGGAAGGACGACAAGAGTGCCGCACCGGAATACAAGTCGAACCCGCTGTTGTAAATTCGTGCTGCAAAGCAACTTCTTATAATCAACATTGATGATCATCATCAACGTCATCAACATCATCCTTATCGATAGATAATCTGAACTTCATCCTCCCTAGACGACACGACGGGTTGGTTTTTCTTTCCCTCACTCTAATCGACTGGATCCATTGTTCATGTTCATGTTCATGTTCGAATCTACGCATCTCCCTATATTTTATTATTTTGTTGCTTGTTAGAATCCCACAGAGAGAGAGAGACACACACCTAACCTAACGTAATTAGCCAAGGCGCTTTGTTAGACATAGAAGAAATAAAGGACGAATGAAAGAATAGAGCTACCTAAACTACAGCTTACAGCTTCTGATATTTGTCCCTGTCTTTATCGAGCATTGCATTACATTGCATTACATGCCATGTCATGCCTGTCATGTCTGTCATATCTTGTCTGTCGTTTTCCATTAACTAAAACTAAAACTAAACTAGTTAACTACCTAAGTTAACTTACAACTGTAACTCCGCAAGAAACTCAGTAAGGTCAAACAAACATCTTGAAAGAAGAAAAAGCGTAACTGAACTAACTTACATGGTGAATTAGAAGACAAGAGAAGACAAGAGAAGAGAAATAATACAAGAAAAGAAAGAAGCCAAAATGCCTCCCTCCTCCATCAGTTTCAGTTTCAATCCCTTGAAGAAAAAAGAATAAAAAACTGAGGATACATGTAAAGGCAAAGGAAGGGGGAAGAAAGAAAGAATTGATGGATGGTTTGACCTTTTTTGAATTTTTTTGTGATTTTGACTTTTTGATGGGATTTTTGAAAAGAAGAAGAAATCAAAACAAGGTGATGATTTCAAGAAGAAAAGGGAAAAAAAAGCAAGAATCGAATGATGATGATGATAATGTAGACAGACATGATTGACAAGAAGGTAACTCTTAGTGAGTTAATGTGTCATGGCACGTTTTTCCGTTTTCAACCCGACTTTTCTCCCTCTTTTTTTTTCTTATCGCTTTTCTTTGCTTTCGCTTCATTTTTTTGGTTCTTCGTTTTGTTTCGTTTATGGACATACTTCGTTCACTCTCGTATTCCCTTGCGTTGCATTGTTTGCTTTCTCTCATTCGTGTGGAGTAATACTCCTCGTAAGAGTACTCGTGCTGGATCGATCGTCACTTTGCAGCTGCAGCTTCGCGCTCCGCTCGCCACTGCTCGAACGGATTCGCTGCCATCCAACGATCTTTCGCCTCCTGCCTGCGCTCCCACTCGTCCATCCGCTCCTTCCACCGGTCCAGCATCTCCGTGTTGGTCTGTCGGTTCACCGCCATCTGGTCCAGGTACGGCCGCTTCACGTCCTCGCCGGCTTCGCGCCACATCTGGCCCAGCGCGGCGCGGATTTCGTCACGCGCAGCTCTCGCGTTCGGGTTGTTCGTCGCGGCTCGCTTGGCCTGGTCGCATTGCTCTCTGGCTCGCTGCCAGTAGTCCTTCTGGAAGAACAGGAATGGGTTCAGGGCGATCTTGGCGGGGCGAGGTTCGGGTGCTCCAAGTTCAGCGTTGATGGCTGCCTCCATCGCTTTCTTATACTCCTGGTGAAGAGCAGTCTCCGTTGGCGACGGATCGTTGGGTTGTGTTTGGGTCTGGGTTTGGGTGTGGTTTGGTGGGTGGTCATTATTATTGTTGTTGTTTGAAGGCAGTGCAGCGGTAGAGACCTTAGACGAAGGAGGGTTCTTTCTCTTCCGCTCAGGATTGGATGTCGACACGGATGTTGACACTGCTGAAGCGGTATTACTTCCCTTTGCAGGCACGAGCGGTGTCGGTACGGGAATCGGCCCCTGGATCTTTTCGATGATTTCAGCAGCCGCCCGTAGACCAGACAGGTATGCGCCGTGCACCGTCGCAGGATGAGTCCCCCAAGTGGCCTCGCCCGCAAAGTGTAGATTTCCAACAGGCTTGGCGAGAAGGTCATAGTCCCCTGGTCGTGCCTCAGCAGCGACATATGAGTAGCTTCCTCGAGTGAAGCGGTCAGATGCCCATCGCGTGACAATCGTCTCCAGGGGATCCGGTACTGCCACATCCTTGAAGATGGTGCGAAGTTGAGACATGGCCTCTGCGATAATATCTGCGTCTTTCATCGTCTCTACCTGGTAGGCTGCTTCCCCAGCCAACAACGCAACCAGAACGGGCAAGCCAGTTGTTTTAACGCAATTCCAGACCAAGTAGAACCGCCCGCGGTTGGCTGCGTAGTCCTCCTGTACTAGGCTGTCGGGGTTGTCGGCCTCTTGCAACAGTCCAATCATGTCCTGGTCAACGTCCCAAAATGGCTTGTCGAAAACCAGTACGACTTTGTTCAAGAGACCAAAGCCAAGCCGGTCGATGACCTCCGTCTTCCACTGTGGCAGAGGAGGAACAAACTCCACGGTTCGATGCTTCAAAGTGCCCAGCGATCCCGTGAATACCACCCGATCTGCTTCGATTGTCTCGCCGTCTTCGCAGTAAACGATCGTCTTGTGGTTTTTGGAGGATGCATCAGAAGGATCGTAGGCAATCTTTGTAACGATCTTGTTCGTGCGAACATCGAGTTTTGTAGGAAATCTCCACAAGCCGCGAGGCACCTGCTGATAGCCTCCTATTACCTGACTGTGCTCGCCTTCGAATTCGTTGCCCATATCATGGTCCCATCCCGAGAGACTGAGCTTCCCGAGGTTCGCTGCTGTCGAATACTCCAGGTTTGCAAAATGCCAATTCAGCAGTCTCATATCCTTGGGAGTCAAAGGGAGTAGGCGCTGGTACTGTTTGACGCCTTCGTCCATGACAGCGCCTAATGTCTGCTTGGGAACCGCTTTGGCCACATGCTCCAGGTTTATGGTGTCCTTGGGAGAGACACCATCCCTCAGCTTCCACCCCATATTCTGGCATTCCATGGCTGCTGGTTGTTCCTCGGCAGGCCCTGAATCGGGTTGCTGCGGTGGGTTTGACGGTGCGTTGCGCGCGGTCTTGTGGCTGACGCCACGACGTTGACGAGTCGCTGGGAGCAACAGTTCTGTTTTGCCAGCGGCACGGGCTTCCTCATACTGTCTGACGGTGACTCCATCGTCTGTGGACACGTCTCGGCCGCAATCGATCAGTTTGCGGTCACCTTCCGCGGTAGAGTCGATGACTGGCTTATCACGATAAAGGCCTGAGCGGTCGAGCACTTGTCTGTAGAGTTTTTCGTCCATCGCATCGTGCTCTTCGTCGACCTTGGATCCGTCGATGTCGTAGATCGTCGTAATATCACGCAGTAAGTGATAACGGAGAGCTAGCTGCGCGCGGATAATTGGATCCAAGGGATTCCCGTTGAAACCCATGATGATATGGGCACCCATCTCAGCTGTCGGTCTCAGACCAGGCGGTAGATCTGTTTTCTGGTGGCTCTTCAACGGGTAGGAATAGATCCGACCTCCAATCCGGCGTCTGCCTTCTAGTACTATGACCCGGGGAGAGGTGGTATTGTCGTAATAATGGCTGAACAAGCCCTCTAGTTGCCTAGCACACCCAAGGCCTGACATACCCGCTCCGACCACCACAATCACGGGGCCATCTTTGCGACGCTTACGCTTAGCTGGAAGGATCGGCTTGGGAATTTCGACACATCCGTAGTTGATGTACCCCTTTCGAACCAGCCACTCGTAGGCAAAAGAAGCCAAGTTCATCCAGCGAAAATCCTTCGCACAACCAAGTGCCTCTTCTTTTGTAACGCTGACCATGGGGTTGCGCGTCCACAAGCGCAGAATTCCATTGCGTATGTTGAGATAGACTGTGACATGAAGGTGGCACAGCTTGTCCTGCAAAGCTTCCTGTTCATCCTTGTGCAAGGCGTACGGATTGAGTCGAGATGCATATGCAGCTGTGACGCATTGGTGGGCATAAACTGGCCCTGGGAGCCTCGAAGGAATCGACGAGCGAGGTTTGTAGTTCTCGAACTCAGAAGAAACAGGGATCGGCTTGGGCGGAGGAGTAAGAGTAGATTCCAAACCCGCGATCAAAACTGTCGACGGAGACGCAGATTTTTCTTGTGGGAGAGGTGATATCAGTGATGCAGATGTCGCTGAATCATTTGGTGTATTGAGATTGGTGGTATCAGAGTCCAAGTCGCGAGACAAGCGATACGTGCTCTGCGAGGCACCCTCGATGCTATCCTTTATGGTCTGCTTTTGATGAGACTGTAGCAAAGAACTCTCCACAGTGCCTCCATTTAGGCCATTCCGAACATAAGAATCATGCTGCCTGGAACCTCGGCGTCTTTTCGCCGGAGGGACTTCAGGATCTGTATCGACGGCAGAATGACCATTAGACAAGAGAGAATGCGACGTGGAGTGCCCATTGGCGTCTCTCTTTTCATCCGTCGGCAACGTGGTCAAGCGATTTCGATCATCAGATGGCTTGAGCAAGCCTTGAGTTCCAATAGATGAAGCCCCCTCCATGCCTGCCAGCAAGGCTCTTGTATGCATAGATCAACTATGCGGTTGTCACGAGAAAAACAAGAAGACAAACAAAAGTAGGTTCAAGCCAGCTTGATCCAAACAGTGTATGATGCTCCTCAGAAACGCGAAAAGAAAAACAGGCCCATTCTCCAGACGAAGCAGCGATATCAAAAGTCGAGCTTCATAGTGGGTCCTTTGTATGTAGTTTTTCAGGTATTACCGCACAATGGTTCAATCGTCTTGATCGGTCGACTCGTTTGACATTTAAGTATCCTGATAAATGATTAGAACAGGAGAAAAGGTATGAGAAAGAAGAAAGAAAAAATCAGACACGGAGAAGAACAGTCAGACGAGGGAGGCTGGGGATATAGATAGGCGGGAGGTGGACTTGCCTGTCCGGGTGACGGGGGTCGACTCGACTTTTACCCCCTTTGGCGAACGAGAATACCCCAAAGGCGCCCCACTGTGTCTGGAACAATAACATCAATTCATTCAATCGTTCACTGACGGCATGGGGCCCTCATTATCATTGTTGTTCAACAATATCGGGGCAAGAGGAAATCCCTGCGACGGTCCCATCATATTCATTGCGGTGGTCCATTCATGCCATTGGTCTAGCGTATTTCTCAGTCCGAAGTGCCCGCTCTGGGACACCGCCTCGACGACCACTTCACTCACCATCCTCGAGGGCAGCGAGCTGTCAACAGCAGAAAAGTCTCGATGCGATCGACGGTTCCCTAGCACGTGCGAGTCTTGTCCTGACTGCATGCTTCTGCGATGACCTATACCCCTGCGGCTGATGGAGCCACGTACAGTACAGTACATACAAGTGGAGTCGAACGATGCTGTCGGCGCTGATATCTCCAAAACAGTCTCTCTAGACAAGAAAGCAGGAGAATGAGAGTCAAAATAGCTACAAAATTTGCATGGATTCGGACATGTAGCATAGTAATATGATGCGTGCCTGCTGCTACGTGTGCTAACTCAGATTCTGCAGAAATTCGACACTTCTCTCTGATCTCAATAACATCAGTTTTCGAAGAAATGATTGTTTTCACACCGATCCAGAGACCTATCTGGAATTCCATAGATGCTCTTTATCCCAATGATAGCTGACAAGAGTGATAACCCATAGGTGGACAGACATGTTATTGCTCGACATAGGTCAGAAAACTCACTCTGGCTATAAATGACCAATGATGCTAGCTGAGAATATTGGCATGGCATACAGGTGCATCCGGATGAGAGGGTCAAAGAGGCTGTCAACATTCATTGCTCCGCCATCTGCACCAGAATACTACACTATTTGATGCAGCAGTCAGGTATGTCAGTCAGAGAACAAGTGTATTTGGATACTTTTTCTGACATGAGATATAAAAGGCACTTTTGATAATAGCTAAATTCCAAGTGCCACTTCCAGGAGCTCCTCTGCCATGGATTTCGCCAATCGATGACAATCTTACGTGACAAAGGTCAACAACATGTACTTTGCGCCGTGGATATAATGGAAGAGTCTGTGTACAAATAGCTGCATAATGCGAGCCTGCGGTATGCTTCTGCACCAGCATCTCTTTCCGCTTGGATTACGAGTATTCTTGTCCAAGAAATCGACAAGATGGCTGTTATTGTAAAACGAGTCCAAGAATCACCCAGTGTTAGCCACACAATTCTAGCTGTATCTTCCCAGAAGACCTAGGACTGTCATGATCATATTATTCGTAATGGACAATTGTCCACTCCATATATTACCAAAGGAAAAAAAGACATTATTTACAGGGTTAAAAAAATAACACTTCAAGTCTTTCTATAGACTCGCTTTCTCCCGTTTCTTCTTCTGATCCCAGCTCCTCTGAAGGAAGAAATTCACTGCCATATTCCACACCGCAGCAGCAACACCCAGCGGCGGAGCAATCAATAACAACCACGACCACCACCGCGGACTGTACTGCTGGATGGTCTGCATCGCCTTGTCGACCTCCCTCGTCAGATCGGCCTTGTCGCCATCGTTCCAGACGACGATGCCCCGGGCGCCCTTGTCCTGGCCGCCACCATTCCGGAATCTCGCCTTTTCGACCTTCTCACGCACGTCGACCTGACTCCGGACCCGATTCTCGGCGTCTTCGGCCGTGAGATGGGGGTCGCGTGCGCGCAGTCGCTGCATCTGCACCGCCGGATCCTGCACTCCGACAACCATCACCGTCCCGCAGATCACGTCCATGCCGCTCTCGAACAGCAGCGGCACGTCCAGCACGACCGCCCACTGCCCGCATAGGTAGTGGTACGCCAGCGCCTTGTACACTTCCCACCGCACGGCCGGGTGGACGATCTTGTTGAGCACCATCCGGTCGCGCTTCCGCTCCTCGCTGTCGCCGAAGACGCGTCGGCCCAGCGCGGCGCGGTTCAATGGTCGTAGTTGCTGTTGTTGTTTGCTGTCGCTGCCATCTGAGCTGTTGTCCGCCGGCAATAGCAGGTCCGGCGTGCTAGGCCCGAAATACTCGACAATGGCTCGGTAGCCCGGCGTGCCGGGCTCGACGACCTTGCGCGCGAGGAGATCCGCGTCGATGATAGGGAGATTGTGCGGCGGCGACGAGAGCAGTCTGGAGACGGTCGATTTGCCGGTGGCGATCGAGCCGGTGAGACCGATGATGAGCATTTTGATTGATTCTAAGGACAGGAAGAAAGAATTGGATTATTAGATTGGATTGGATTGAGCAGGAGGGGCAGGGCAGGCCAGATTGGCCCTTGGTTTGGGAGCTGGAGCTGGAGTAGTTCGTCGCCGTTGATAGTGAGGAGACAAGAACCCGAGTCCTTTTGGGAAGTCAACAAATTGTACTGTACCTAATCAAAAGACCGCGCGACGTAGGGATACGGTATCTGTATTCACTGGTTCATATTATTCGACACATTCTATTATCATTATTGTTATTGCGACTGGAACAATAAACAGGACAGCAAAACAGCATGAGTGCATATCTTACTCCGTACAGCAGTAGGTCCTAACGTCATCGAATCAAACCAGACAAACCAAACCGAACCTCGGCTAGCTAACCTATGCTGTCCGGATGACCTTATTGGCTATGCCAGGCCTGCCATGCCATCTTTCTTCTCTCTTATAAAATTATCAATACCACAAGCACTTGACGATCAGGATGGGAACATGAGACAAAAAAGAAAAAGAAAGAGAAATAGAAATGGAAAAGGAAAAAAATACGGAGACAAAGACAAAGACAAGAAAATGTTATGATTGGCTCAGATATGACCGGATCTAATCTCTCTCAAGTGTACTGTACAAATAGACCCTATTTCAGTCCAGAAATCTCTTGTAGATCGCTGCTTTGACGCCAGTCTCAGCCTCTTTGCGGATATGGTGGTATCCAGGTACCATCTGTCTGTCTGTGGCTTAGTACTAAAGAAATTGACCTGTAACGAAACGTCGCAGATTGGAAGCTTACTAGTCATTCCTCGATGGTTTTCCCGGTCCATTTCCACTCATGAGACCGAATCTTTTCTGCGACACGCAACATCCCAGCGAATTAATAGTGAGTGGCGAGTGTCGAACTAACCGCTTTCGTTTGTAGCTACTGTTGCTGAGATGCTCAGACGACAATGTTCTTGTCAAGATGACCTCATTCTCAATTTCCACTGACTGTCCATCCCATACCGAAGGCAAGCACATCGATCGAATTTTCGGTAATGGGATCGCCTTCTTCTGGGGGAAGCATCTCCTTTGAAGCCCGAGACAGGCCTACTAGAGATCTGAATAACGTGTCAGCACTCCAGCCAGTAGATAATTAGTTATGGATCCGAGACATGCATCTGTTTCTTGGACTGATCATAGAATATCTGCTCCGTTTCAGGTTCAAAGAATACATAGCCTTGAAGTCGTATGTACCTTCATGTGGGGAAAGACGTTAAAAATTTTTCAGAAAAGATTCTGCAATACAGCAGCATATTCAACGCTGGTCGCATGTTCCATGTTGATAAACTTACTCAAGGATCAGGATGAGTTGGGTTCGGATGATCCTTCGATCTTCCTCATATAGGTCCTCGAGGATCTCGATAACGCTCTTCCCTCCGACTTTTGACATGACGATGACACGTAAATACCCACCAGGGAATGGATGAGTATTGTTTTGACGAAGCTCCTCACTGTGGAAAAACCTAGGTGCCACTCCGGTAGGCGAACAGACTCTCAGTGCTTTGCATTCAGTTTCAAAGTTTCGTTTAGCTGTGACTTGAATGCTATCCTTCTTGCTTTGACTAAGTCGAGATGGATTCTGTCTGAAATGGATCTATATGTCAGCAGAGCAATCACAGTGCGAGTACCAAGCGTACAGACGTACTGAAAACGAAGCTTCAGGACGAAAGCGTCCGTGCTACCCGATTTGGTAGCTTGAAAGACGGCCCAGCGCTCATTGAACTCGTTGCTTTGCTTTTCAGAAAGAATCTCCTTGAGCTCGAAGTTCTCACCATGGACGGTGAGTGTTTGGCCGATATGTCTATCTAGCGTAAGGCCGTCTTGGAACCGGTAGGACGGCATCTTGAATGACTTTTGGTGACCGGAAGAATGTTTACAAGATTCTCAGACTTGGTCATATTTCTTGTGTAAAGGAATATGTGTGTGTTATCTTTGGGATATCAATGTAAGTGAAGGACTGTTCAGAGCTGTCATATGATTCAGGCAGAAGTAGTCCTGCTCTACCTCATGATGACACCCTAGAATTGTTTAAACTATAATCTTGGTAATGAGTACCTTAAATATGTCTTATATATAATTCCTGTTCTTGGACTGCTCAACTAAAAGAAAATACCATAGTATTTCTAGTCATAATTCATCCTATTCACCTTATTAAAGCTGCAGTGTCCAAATAGCTCCCTAGGAATACTATTATAGCTATTATATATAGGGCTTAGTTAATATAGAAGTACGGAGTACTACATACGCCGACATCTAATAGTAAGCTATTTTTTAAACGAACTAAGAGGCTATACTTATATAGGCCATTACGACTGCCTAATCTGCAACAATACTGCAATTTTACGCCAGTACTAGAGAGAACTGTCTCCAATCGCTCATTATATAAATTTGCTCTATCAGGCATGCGCCAGCATGCATCTATATGAGATGGTATCATACAAAATCCATAACGATCCAGAAATACAGGTCCACTCGAAGGTTGATGTCCTACCTGTAGTCAGCCAAAATATACCAATGCCTCCATTGCGCACAGCTGCATCACGAATTGAACCCATGCAGTAAGCTTCGTTGCTGGTTCCGCGCGACAAAAAAAAAATGTACTCTTTCGAAGATCGTCTCCCTTTTGTACATATAGACGGGAGAATCAGTCGCATATTCCAAGCGTAGATGTCCAAACAATAGCTGTCCAATATTCCGAGGACAGTCAAGAATATATGGTCAGAGGCTAGCAATGCTGTAAGCCACAGACCATTGTGCACTGCCTGACTCTAGCCCGGGGACTGGTTGCCGCTGTTGCTGCCGTCGTTACAGCGTAGAGATAAACGACAGGCTAATCAGAGAAAGCCTGAGCACGGTCCTGACCTCATTCTCTGATCAGAATTCTGGCAGCCCACCCTTGCTCGGGTCCTGGGGCTGCCCATTCCATCCTTTGTACGGCCATCCTTCAGGCAATGTCGAAAACGGCGGTAGAACATATCGTCCCTCGCAACTGTCGATACTGTTGCAGGTGAGATCACACAAGCCAAAGACTTTGCAATAACACTCCGAAGCGGCAGGACAGTGGATTGGCTCCTTTCCGAATATCACTACCCACAAGCTTAGTGCTGCAAATAAGAAAGCTTTCCTTTGGTGACAAACTTACTATGCCATGAATATTCCATGATTCTGCCACTGAGATCATCTTCCAGTGGCGTTTCCAGAAGCCACTTCCTGTAGCGCTCGTACTCGCTTTTGGCCGTTCCCGGACCTTCCATCTCGTCACGCCAAACTGCGCACAGCACGACACGCCAACCGCCTCCGGTACTTCCACGCCTGGAAAGAGCTGCATGAAGCCAGTTTTGAAGTATTCACCTGCATGAACATCCTCCCGGTGAAGATCCGTAAAGGGGTGGATTTCCTCTGGGCAGCCAAGGATCCAAGCACAACGCAAGTTGACATAGCCCTGTTCTTGCAGGTACGGTATCTGGAGGTTCTCGATCATGGGTCTGCCGTCATAGTACGGATCATCGTTATGCCATTGGTACCGCTGCGAATGGATAAAGAGCATATACTCCGGTAAATGGTCGTAATTGTCGATGATGTATCTGCAAATTCATCGATTAGAGATCTTGCATCGCCCGTATCCTTTGCAAGCCGAAAAGGAAAGAACATACGTCAGATATACCATCGACTCCCTTCCCTTGTTCTTCTCGACCGTCAATTCGGCACTTTTATCATCCACAACGTATATGCTTTTGTGCCAGTTTGGGAAGAACTCGAACAGCCACGTCGTATTGTCCGTCGTCATACTGGCAACCACCAGATCTCTCTCAACGCCCAGCGGGGGCAGAGGGCCGGAAAGCTGGGATGCGAACTGCTCACCAGCAGGCCTCGTTTTCACAGTCTTGCTGCCCCTTGGTGCCGAGCCCTGACCACCAACAGGTGTGTGCATTACGAACCAGTATATTGCATACAGGATTAGTGTTGCGAGAATCGTCGGCCTTGCTCGACGGTACAGACGACATCCCCGCGTAGGCGACGCGAACATTGTGGCATGGAAGGGCAACGACCGGGATGCCGAGGTTAACTCCGGAAACAATAGAGGACCAGGTCACCAGGGTCAACAATTGTTTCAATCATTCGGAAACTGAACGGGGAAGAAGAATGCACTCTGGCGGCAAAGGATATGTTGTGACATGCGCAGCAGATCACCAACCAATTTTACTGATAAGGCACATTCCGCGTAGCGTATAGAAGGAATATAAAGCATTAAATCAATGACGCATGATGATCAGAACAAGTGAAATTCGCATCCAAGGAAACCAACACAGCCCCCAAACAAGCAGTCGTGAGCACATGGCAGAACTTGCAAGGCGACGGACTAGTGTTGATTGGCGTCAACTAGGGCCGCGCTTGCCAAGCCTATCAGGCCGCCATTTCGTCATAGACCCGCTTGGGCTGGCACCAGTGACCACAGTGCTCCGCAAATATTCCGAGCTTCCAGCACTCGTCTCATCGATCGCTTAGATTTATTCTTCGTTCATCTCGTATTTGTACTTCCATCAGCTAACAGAAGACTGAAGATTTCCACAAATCAGTAGATCTGGCTTATCATCTCGCTTACCCGCGCTACACAAGGTCCTTTCTTCATGTCAAACCTACGAAACACGGTAACGTTGAATTTTCAAGGAGTATCCCAAACGCTATATATACGTTATATACTTCATAATGCTATATATATGTCTCTTGGAAATCCAAAACTGGCGCAGTTGCTGCTATTCCAAGGTCAAGCTGATCACGAACATGCGCTAATGGGTCCAAAGTACCACCGATGAGCATCAATGTCAAGGCCAGCAGGGGTGCCGTCGTTGCCTGCAGTGGAGTCGACGCCTTCGATGACCTCGATGTCGGACGGTTGAACAGTTACATTGTTCCCTGAGGTGATCCAGTACTCTGGGCTCGGTTGGCTGTATCCAAAACTCCTGGGAGGCAGCTTGGGGACAGGGTCATCGGAATGCGTGACGCGGTAATTTGTGCCTCCGGATTGCGTGGTGATGAAGTCTGCGAGCGCGGTGTTACCGACCCGGGGGCAGCCATAATTGTACTGCAGTTAACCGGTCAGTCTTTCCGCTCGATGATGACGACGCCCGTGCCGGAAACTTACGAGGTCAATATTATATCCGCTCTCTCTAAGAGAAACGGCTCCAAGTGTAGCCAAGGCGGCTCCGAGACTGTGGCCGGTGAAGACCAGCTTGTAGCTGGGATGTTCGTTGACGGCCGACGAGATTTTGGATGTCAGAGTGCTGGCGACTGAATTCCAGGATGAAAGGAACCCATCGTGTGCTTCACAGCCGGAACAGATGGCAGAGGCATCGACCAGGTCAGCTTCCAGGTCAGCGATCCAGTTTTCGAGAGTCTCTGATCCCCGGAATGACAAGACGATCAATTGATTCGTCGAGTCGAGAGCGAGAAAACCCGTCACATCGCCAGAGCCAATGCTGACAACACGTCAACATGTTGGTATCAACAATCTTTTCCGTGACACCCACTTGTTGAATGAATACAGGATGGTTGCTCCAGCCTGCTGGACCAACGGGCAATTGCCTGCGGAGCAAGAGATTGCCGTGCCGGCAGAGGCCTCATTGTTAGCTGAACAGTACGCAGCCGCCGAGTACTGCTCGAAAAGATTGAGCTGGTCGAAGAGGTCCTGAGAAACATCTGAAGGATGTCAGCAGGTCGCACAGGGTGTTCTCTCCGTCATGCTTCCTTACCTCGACGGCCCAGTTCAACAGGAGCAGCCAAGACTGACGCAGTCAGTCCGAGGGCAGCAATGGCCCGCACAGCGGCCGATTTGAACATTGAAACTGTCTATCACAACGCACAGCGTATATAAATCGAACGCTCCTGGACGGATGCCAGCAGAACTGATCCCAGCGTATACAAAATGTCTGATTAGATCGTGGGGGCCATCATTCTACAGGACGGGGAGGCCCTATTCTTATGTAGTTCCTGGCCAGCATCGGCCTCAAGCAGCTGGCCAAGAGTCGGGGTCAAAAAAGCATCCGAGATCAAATTAGGTTGCATCGTGACTGATGCTAGAATGAGGGGCTATGAACATGCTTTTTTCATTTTGGGTGTAGGATACAATGTTAGTTCACGGTTTAGTCCCTTACATCCGAATGATCTGTGCAGGTGACGAAGAAAAGATCAGGAATGCATCGAGATTCGAGATGGTGATTGGCGAGCTGGATCATGACGAGAGGCCTCCAACTGACGGCTTGCAGCTATTCCGACCTTGATCGAATCATCGAATAGGCTGGCTGGCGTCCCCAAGAGGCCAAACCGTCACGACCCACCCGATCACCGTATCTCCATCGGAGCATAGAGAACTCATGCGTGCTTGCAATTGTTCTTGTGGTTTGACGTTGACGACGTCCACTGAGTAATCTATGCTATGTAAACCACATTTGCTACCTTCATTATGAGGATAGAAGTTCAGAAGACTACCAGCAGACATTTGCTTGATTGCAAGTGCCTCGATTACACTTGACCCCGCTAGATAGCGGGTTCGAACGGACGACTAAACCGCTACCTTTCCTGGGGAGGTATCTACCGGTAGAACGGATCGATCCAGGATGCAGAATTTCAAGCCGTTAGTTTATCCGGAGGGGTTGTCTTAGTTTAAGTTCTATTTAAACTCAGAACTGTGCGGTGGTTACCGACGGGACCAATGGATGCAAATCAACAACTTTGTTTTTCTGAATTGTTGTCGAAAGTCTAACCAGATAACGCTATATCTCCGATGCGCATGCAGTAACGCCATTGATGGCATTCAACCATCCCCAGGTGTGCGTAACCCATACATACATGGGAACGAAGATGACATCTCTTGCACTGCAGACTTTCAGAGTAATTGTCCTGCAAATCTCGAAAACGACTGATTGCCGATGTAGCTATTACTAATTATATCAGAACCTCTCACCGCTCAACATTTATTATCATTCGACAATAAAAAATCGAACAACAAGATATATAATCAGTCAAAATGATGGGTGCATTGACAGCATCACGACCTACCTATCCAGCCACATAGTTATATACCTGCATACACTACTGCATGTAGAGTAGTATAAGGTGGTCAAAGCGAAATGGATTGTGGTGCAATTGGCAGGTCAATGCCGACGACAATGCATTATGGTTATTTAGCCTCGGGAATCAATGTAACCTGCCGTCATCCATGGATATCCAGGTGACTAACCACGTGCATAGTTCTTGTCACTTCGTCTTCTTTGATTGGTGGGTAGTTTAGGTAAATATATAGAACAAACAGCAGAGAAAGAAGCTTTGTGGGTGGTAAAAAAGAGGGGAAATCTAAAAAGAGGGAGGGAAAAATAATGAAATGAACAACGTCGGGATGTCACTGTTTTTGTCATGTGTCATCTGTACCTATCATAAAGCTTGTTTGTTTGTTGTCAAGGGGCGAGAAATCATGCGATTACGTATGGACCCCATGGATGGAAGGCTTATACAGACTTCATTTATATTATCATTGAAATTATTAGGTAGTATATATAGGTATTCTGTTCAGTTAAACTCCACTACATGGATCATACGCTACACATCTCAATATGTTGTTTTACCTGTCAAAAAGTAGATGTTCGCGAGGAGTACACCGCTAATAAGTAATTAGTTGATAATATATAACTTCATGGCGATATCTGCATGTTTGCAGAATTGATTTATTATCAACCCCTGCGTTTCTGTATATATGCACAGTACAGTATACGAGACAATCCTGTCATACATGATACGGGGCTTGACCTCATCCATATTTGCTCGTCTGTCTGCTTGTACGGCGAGAAATGGTTGAATAGAAGTGATGGTATATTGTATATACATCCTTCATGCGTATGTCTACCTGCCTACCTACTCTCCTCTGGCCCTCTTCGCAACCCCCAACTCATCAACAATCTCCATCTTCAACACCGGGTCCATCCTCTTCTCCAAAGGCCAGTCCCCCCAAAAGTCCTGCACATGCTTCAGCACCCGGTGGTAATGCGGCCCATTCCCCGGCTGGATCTGCCCGATGATGCCTGCGCGGTCCGACTCGACGCGCTGCGGCACGATCAGCGACCGGCCCAGGATGCACTCCAGGCCCTTGAACGCAAAGTCCATCGCCTCGCGCGAGCCGCAGGGGATGCCCAGCACGTCCAGCATCTGGATCTTCGTCTGCGGGAATTGCTCCCGCAGGTAGTTGATGATGTTCGGGTTGTATGACCCGCCTCCGCCGAGGTAGATCTCGTCGATGCCTCCCTCGGGAGCCCATCGCCGGTATCCGTCGGCCAGCGACTGTGCGGTAATGCGTGTAATTGTCGCGACGCAGTCTTCTGGCGTTGCGCCCTTGGCCAGCATGCGTTTGCAGAGATCTTCGCTAAAGTTATCTCCGAACGTCTCGCGACCCGTGGTCTTGGGAATGTCGTGCAAGAAGTACGGCCCTTGCAAGACTTCGTCCACGATCTCCTGGTCGATCTTGCCTGCAGCTCCCATCTCTCCGTCCTTGTCGTACTGTTTTTCGCCATTGGTGAAAAAGCGGACGGCCCTAGACAACGTCAGAATTGTGCTCAGAATTGAATCATTGCTATATCGTATTCGCCTACCCATCGATAAAGACATTGCCAGGGCCAGTGTCGAAATCGTATCCCTGCTTCACGTCGCCTGCCGGAAGCATGGTGATGTTGGCAATGCCCCCGATATTCTGCACGGCGCGGTTCAGCGTCGGATGGGTCGCGCAGAGCCCGTCGAACGCCACGAACAGCGGACAGCCCTGTCGACCCAGCGCGACGTCTCCCACGCGAAAAGCCGAAATGGTCGTGACGCCCGTCTTGGCCGCAATGACGGAAATCTCGGCCATGTCGATGTGCGCCCGGATCTGGTCGCCCTCGAAGAGTTCTGGTAGGGGCAGATGCCAGATGGTCTGGCCCTGGCCGGCGATCACGTCGACTTCGTCCTGCAGGTTGAAGCCTTGTTCGTTGGCGAACTGGATGATGGCATCGGCGGTGAAATCTCCAAGCTGGTCGCATCAGTCAGTCAGCATGTATCCTAGCCTATCTCATAGAGAGGAAAAGTCCCACCTGCATGTTGACAATGGCGATTTCCTCAGGTGACGTCTTGTTTTCTCTGATGAGACGCATCACGCGTTCTAGGTTGCAAGTCAGCATATTCAAGAAGTAGACTTGGATGTTGGTAGACTTACTCTTCAGCGGCCCATCAAACGGCACCTCGCCGTACCGCAGCAGCTTCATCTTCAAGGGAGCCGCTGGGCTCTCCTGGGTGAAGTGGATGTGCACAATGTCCAGGCCATCCATCGACGTGCCTAGAGTCAGAGTGTCAGGAATACGATTCAACAGAGGCAAAAGCTGTCAATGGCATTGAACTCACCTGCACACGTCCCAATCACCTTCAGACTCAAAGGTTTTCCATTCCACTTCTCGATCGCCATGTTTGCAGTGATCGTCTTTCAACCGCTCAATGCCGAACAAAGGTATATACAGAAGTATGTAATTTAGGTGCAGTTGACTCAATTTCAGCTACAGCTAACAGAACTCAAGACTGGAAGTCGGAAATTCAAAGACAAGAAGATCTTCTCCGTCCCTCAAACACCCTTAAATATGAGGGCAGTGGAGGAGAGAAAAGAACTGAATGCCGAAAGAAACCGGTCCTTCCATGATATGGACCCAGTGATCCGGTGGACACGAAACGAGCGATAACAACAGTACCTGTACTTTTTCCATCGAGCTATGCCGCTTACTTGGCTGGATCAATCAATCAATCAATCCACAGGAATCAATAGATAGGTTAGAAATGCATTGGCTGGAAGCTGATGTCCAGGGTACTCCGTACCTCTACATACCTTGTCGGTAGTGCAGATACCGGACCAATAATGATGCTTGCTGGCCAGAGCTTCCCTCCGATCCACTGAATTAGTTTGATCCACTTCTCCGGGGTATTTCCTCGGAAGGCATTTTCCTTCCGGAGACAATACCAGACCAAACCTATCCGAAATCTGAATTCTTGGTGGAACCTGACTGACTCCACGGGGAAGAGAGGTGAGGAGAGGAGAGGGCCTGAGCTGAGCTAACTATTTACTTAGGCAGGCAGGTAGGTAGATTCAATAGTAGGTGGTAGGTTTGAAACTGTCACTTTGTCTGACTTTATGTTGTAATACAGACTCAACAGAAACGTTGTATAAATATATATATGGATAGCTTCAGGTTGATAGTAATAAAAGAATAGCCCAAATCCAAGTCCTCACTTTGTCTGGAGTCTGAAAGTCTTCGCGGAACATGATTTGTCTGCTACGGGCACAGAGAGATACCTAAGCTGACCTGACCGGGAAATCGTCATTATCTTACCCTGAATTCTTATGCAGCATGGGTTTGGTGGAAACGTTATCAGAATAGGAAAATCCTTATTTGTCCGAATTCCTCATGCAACATGCTTTGGCCAGGCCAGAGAGAGCTCTGAGTTGACCTGACCTGACCTGATTAAGTATCTGTCGACTTTTCCGAATTCTTAGTCTTATCTAGACCTTGGCGGCAAGGTTATGGTTTTATGGGATCTGCTTCGACAGGGAGACTTGGATTCGGACTTGACAGACTGAAACTCTTACTTTACACGGTTTCTTTTATGTGGGCCTCAGGGTGGACATCGCTGAGTCCTCGCTGGGTGTAGTACTAAGATTAGCATGAATAATCATAATATCCAGGGTTATTTTTAAGTGCCACTCAGTTATTTCTACTCTACATCTAATCCATTCAATATACACAACACATGCACACTTCCCTCCTCTCGTGATGATGGTTTAATTTAATTGTTTTTGTCAGTAACAGACACAGCCGTCTCAACTTGCTGCTCATCCGGCGCTGCCTTCTCTCCATATTCATGCGTCTCCAGACCAAGAGCCTCCCGAGCCTCTGCCGCCGTGATATTCCGTGGCATGCGCTTCTCGTTCTTGACGGGGTCGCCCGGCGTCGCGAAGATGACGTCCAGCTCCTCCAGAGATCGCTGCTTCGTCTCCACGAGGAAGAAATAGATGATCGGGATGAAACACGCGTTGAAGACCGCATAGATGATGTACGTCTTCCAGGCGATGTTCGCGAAGGCTGGCGGGATCGTCATCACCACCACGAAGCAGAAAAGCCAGTTTGCTGCCGCGGCGATCCCGTTGATCTGCGCCCGGCATCGCAGCGGCGCGATTTCCGCGGAGTACAGAAACGGCCCGCCCACCCATGCCAGACCGAAGAACGTGTTGTAGAGAAACAATAACCCCGCCGCGGCCAGCTGGTTCGGCCGCGAACCCGTCGATAGGAGGATCGGGATCACGATGAAGCAGGCCGTCATGCCCGTGACCGTGATCAGGAACGCTCGTCGACGACCAAGGCCTTCGATCAAGAGAACCGACAGCAGAGAGCAGATGGCGTATTCCGCCCCGCCGCATGCAGCAATCAGATGCGACATGCCTGCATCCAGGTCGAAGCTGTCACTCAGGATCTGGTTCGCATAGGTCGACACCAGGTTTATGCCTGAAAGCTGCTGCGCAGCCTGAATAAAGAAGGCCAGGCACACGCGGCGAAACGTTTGTGTCTGGCCGTTCTGGAAAAGCTCCTTGTAGGAGAAAGGAGCTTCGGACTTCTGGGCCTCAAACGAAGCGATAATGGCCTCTCGCTCTTCCACTAGCAGCGGGTGGTCTTCCGGCAGGCCACGCAGCTTCGCGAGGTTGTAGCTGCCTTCGGCCAGCATCCCATGCTTGATGAGCCAGCGGGGGGATTCTGGCAGGAACATGATGAAGCAGAAGACGATCAAGGCCGGGATCAGCTGAATGCCAACCGGTCCCCGCCACTGCGTCTGACCTTTGGCAAAGAAGAAACCGTAGCCTACCCATTGCCCGCAGGCCACTCCGCTCGTCTGCAGTCCTCCTTCGATCATCACCCATCGGCCTCGCGTCTTTGGTTTCGCGCATTCGCCTGTAGAGTGTTAATACAACGACTAATTATGAATTCGTCATATGCCGGTTTCATACTCTGCCATGTCGGGACTGTCGCTATTTGAAGCCCCAGACCGATCCCTGACAAGACGCGGCCCACGCCCAGCTGCGCGACATGCCAAGCAGACGTTTGTAGGACGCCGCCCACGACCATAAAGCCCATTCCAATCCAGACGGTCGCACGTCGGCCCAGTCGGTCTGCGTAGAGCATGCAAAGGATGGACCCAATCAGCGCACCGAGCTCCAGCAGCGCGATGATGATACCCTGGACATTTGCATTCTTCGTTTCGGGAAAGACGGAGAGGAAGGGTTCCTCTGTAATGACGCCGCCCATGACCTATAACCGAAATGTTAGGGAATCTTGTCTACTTGGATACGGTATTGGACATACACTCATGTCGTATCCGAATAGCCAGAATGCACATGTTGCTGAATTGATTAGCACACAATCAAAGAAAGAAAGGAAAGAGGGGAGGAGATCGGGTTTTCGAATCACTTACCGATAGATGCAACAGCCATCTGCAGCGGGAAGCCGCTCAACCCTCCAAGGGTCGCAGTGTACGGCGTTAACCTTGTAGAGAAAACCATCTTGACACGCAAAAAAGTACTACCACGGCCAAAAGACACAATGATCTCTCATAGGTGAGAATTGACCTCTTCGTGTTGCTCGTGGCCTCCAGACTGTTTATGTCTGGAGATTTATATACTGCGCACCGGACGCAACAATCACGTTTTGCGGAGAAGCAGATAGCCCGACCGTTGTCTCCATGTTTTCCCCGGACATTTTCTTCGTCCACCCGCACGTTCTGATTCGACAGATCCAGCAACAGATCGTGGAGGATGGCTCCGAATCCCAGGGTTCTGGGGTGACGGGCCCACCTTCCTTCCGAGGAAAGTGTACCTTTGTCCCCATATCTGAGCGGCAAAACGGCTGAAAGGAAGTTCGCCAAGTCAATAATATGGGGAAACCTGATATCATGGCTTTCCCACACGCCAGTGCGCCACGGCAGGAGATAGTTGATTTCGGGAATGATTATATCTCCAGGTTGCTCTCTTTCAAACCCTTCGTCTCAAAAATGCGCAACAAAAACTCCCCGATCCTGTGACGAGGTCCGATTTCCTCGGAAACTTCTCTCCACGTCTGGCCTCGCTGTCGAAGAGGAGCCGTCCACCCCCACCAGTCGAGAAGGGCGTCGATGTTGTGTCGCGTGTTCCATCCCGTTGCGGCCTGGATGTCTTCGAGGCACCCCAGCAGTGCCTTCCGCCGAACCCACCCGACCAGCGCCATCCCGGCCGTGTGAAGCAATTGCACGGCGTTGGCCCAGTTGATTGCGCCTCGGTTAGTGATGCTGTTGGCAATCACCCGCACGACGTATATCTCAGCTATCTCCCCGTTTCGCACCAGTCTGGCCGCCCGTTCCTGGTGGCTGCGTTCTGGCCGGGCCAGAATGTGCAACAACCTCGCGAGATCGAACATCTGCATCGCCGCACTGACGGCTTCGTTGATGTATGACACCGACGGGAAAGGGTTTTTCTCATTGCTGGGTTCGGCGTCGAGAACGGCCAACGGCTGGAATTCGAGTGGCTGCGATTGCTCGTGCAGCTCGATGCGCTCTCCCAGCTTCTGCCATCGCTCGAA